TAAAGGCATGTCATTGGCTTGTAACTCAGAAGAAAAGTCCCCACTTCAGACCTATGTAATTTCAGACCTTGCATGGAAAAAAGCAAACCAATAAAATTAAAAATCTGCCTATTTTTATCTCAGGTTCCTTGGGTGTGCAAAAGACAATGACTAGACTCCTGGGATACCTTCAACTTGCAGACAAGTGCAGCTAAGCCAGCACACCTTTGTAAATGCAAGCTAAATGACCTAGATCCTTTCAGATACGCAGACACCACTCTGCCCAGTAAAACCTAAAGCATTTAGACTAGTGGTTCAGTGTTCAAAATGGTTCACAAGATGTATAAGGTCAGATCCAGTTAAGACTTAGGTGCCTAAAAGTTAATTTTTGAAAGTGTCCTGAGAGCTGCTCCTCAGCGCTTTGTCCTACATGCACAGACTCCCTCTGCAGTAGGGGAAACTGGCTTCCAAAAGAGCTGACAAGTTGAGCTGCTCTAAAAGCCTGGACTTTCTCCAGTTGAGAAATTTTAAGAAAATAGGTAAATCTGTACACCTTGTTTCCAGTGGACCTCATAAAGGCTGCAGGAACTATTCACTGTTTCTATTCACTCCGCATCTGCAGCCTGCCACTTCTTGAATGAGGTTACCAGCATCCTTTCTTTCAGGAATTCAACACAGCTCATTTTTCTTCTGAAATTCTGAAAATCTGAGTATCCATTTCTGGTTGCCTTGCCATTTTGCCTTTGATATAACAGTTTGAGCACACACCTCTGACACAAGAGACCTGGGACAATCCCCAGCTCTGCTGGTGGGGATTCACAGCCAAGAAAATTGCCTTCCAGCAGAGTGATCCAGCTGCCAGATTAAAGGCTACTGGAATGAGGGAGAAAACGGGCTTTCTCTATTTCTTCTGTTAGCGTTGTGCCATTGTAAAATGTAAATAAGAGTCTAAGGCCAAGCATGACTTCGTTCTAGTGGTTAAGAAAGTTCCACTTGCTGTTTTCAGTGTAGTTGCTAACATTAAGTTAGAAATATGAATGGTCCTGACAGACAGGATGAGAACTCATGATTTCTGTCTTTGTTCTTGTTTTAAAAGATTTACTTAATTTGTAACCCTGATAAAGGACAACCCTGTACATGTGGAAAATCAGAAGTTTCAGAATTTTCCATGGCACAGAAAAAGGTGACTTATTTTTTTCAGTTAGATGCAGCTGAGCAGAGCTTTCCAGGGCCACGTGTCTGTATAGACACTTAGTATCTATTTGCATTTGGTCCATGTTCTTTTCCAAACATAGGCTAGTATCACGGAACACTGGAATGAGTGAGGCTCCTCAGCACAGCAAGTTCCTGGCTTTTTGGCACGCTGCAGGCTACCTATGGTAAGCAGATCACATGTCAACCATATGTACAAACTTGAACTGGTGTGTGTATATCGATGTGTACCAAATATTAATCAGCAAAATTAGACAAAGTTCAAATCTAGATAATTGAACAACAGGATTGCCATCCGGCTTACCACCTGCTATAATATTCATGCATGGTAGTGAATTGTCTTTTCTATTCATACATCTGGATCTAACTGTCCTAGTATAAATCCAAATGGTCTAGAAAGAACTACAGTGTAAGGAGCCTGTGGTTATCACAGCACACTCACTTTTATGTCCCATCAGGGTGCATGTCTAGTGTTCTCTTGGAAACCAAATTTGAATAACCATGGCCTTTGAGACCAGGCTCAAGTATCTTCATAAGGGACTTCTACAGGACTGTTCTATTTGGAATTTCATGCAAATATGTAGAAACACTTATCTCAGAATTTGGATTTCTTAGACTTATACACTCTGCTGGTTTGATGTTGCTTGTCAGATGCTAAATAATAACAGACATCATTACAATCAGAAGGACAGTACTGCTCTTCCGTTGGGTATAAATCTGAAGCCAATCCATTGGTGTAGAAGTTTTAGCCTAGGTTTGGTTTTGTGTATGTGAGAATATGGACCATGCATCTTATTTTTCTTTTGATATAATCCAGTGTATCCAGAAACAAGAAAGCCATATCAAGCCCCAAATCACAGAACTCAAGTTTTTTAAGATATCAGCTTTCTTTTACGATCTGGGTGGCCTTCACCATGTCTGGGAAAACATGAACTCAGTGGCCCTGGTAATGCATCACCTGCTTTTTCCAGACTGCTGTAATCAATTTGTCTTTATCCACCACATTACCAAAAGACACTATTAAAATTCATATTTGTGTGTTCTCCCCAGAGGGTAAACCATCAGAGATCTCTAGGGTTTTGGAGGTTTTTTGTGGAGATGCAGAAGGCTTTAATTAGGTTTAAAATAAGATCAAATTTCTTCCCTACAGTAACATCAGAAACTTCCACCAGATTCCTGTTTTGCACTCTGAAAACTTGATCAATTCTCAACCTCACAAATTACATCTTTTGTTTACATTTTTCTAGAACATCAAAGCAGAGAAGTGTTGCCCTTAACCAGTGTTTCCAGGCTTAAATAATGATGTTTCCATTTTCTGCTTAAAGACTTACAATGATCTCTCCTTTAGACCCTGGAATGCTGTGGGACTGAAGGATCTTAGTTGCACTTAGGATTATCTTTCAGATACTTGGTATTTTCTAAGAGGTGAATCCTGAGGTTATTTCTCAGGCAAAACTGTTGAAACAAATGGAGTTCTGCCCACGGAATGAAAGAATAAGAACTAAGTAAAAACTTTAAATGTTGGCCCCAAGATATTAATGTCTTCTAAACTGTAAGGAGGGATGTAGTATTGTTTTATTTAAGGAATTTGTTCCACTGTTTTGCTAAAACCATTGATATTATAAATGAAGGAAGGAGACTCATTTCTTCTTCCAGATACCTCTCTCAGCAAAACATGACCCCAGAGAAGTCGAACATCGAAAAAAACCATGTCTTTGGGCTACCATTCCCCTGCTTGTATTTGAGGCATCTTCTTTCAAAAGAGCATCTCATGAATATGAGCAGAATTACATAAATAAATAAAAATGCAAAACTGACAGGAAAGGGGGAATATGTGTTAATAATAGTCCCACGGTAAAACCTGTAATGTAAGAACCTTCTAGACTTTCAGGGTGGAGCTGCCAGTAACTCTGCACCTGTGTCTGTCTACCCATTTACTATGTTTTACTTGTCCATCATGTCCCAGAGTGTTGTTCTCTGGAAATCCACTAGAACACTTGATTGCTGTTTCTAAAAGAGAAATCTTGGATTTCAAACACTGTAAAATTTCTTAGAGGAAATTAGCCCATAAATATGGTTTGGCTTCCTTGATATTCCATTTTAATAACTCCCTATATCTCCTTTTTATACAAGAAATACATTGTTTCTTCAGTGTGTACTGTTCTATTGTTTCCAGTGTGAAAAAAATGTACTTTCTATAACTGGAGTTCCTACCCATAAACACTGATCACTTGAATCCCATTTTGCTTCATTCATACTGTTTTCCATACTCTCCTGCTGTGTTTACTGCTGGATTCTTTATCTATCCACTTACAAAGTCTTAAATGACAGCTAAATCTGGAGCAACCATGCACACTGCTCTGTGGGTGTCTAATGAAGTCTGAACACAATCCCTATGGGTGTTGGTTGTCCTCTGGTTTCTCCTCTCCTTTTTGCTGTGGACCGTCCTGCATTTGACTTTCCCCACCAGTCAAAACGAGGAGTTTTGCAGCAAGTTTGGAACAGTACATATTCTGAATGACCAGTCAATCATCTCTACTTATTGGATAAAGGGCTACTGTCAAATTCAACATATTGCACCTGAATTCTGCCCAACTTTCCCTCTGTCAGAGCATCATTCAGATGCTCTGTCATTCAGATCCCCCTTATATACTTGTAGGAGCCTAATTATTTTTGAGACTTGGACTGTTCTTTCAAGTATGGTTGAAATTAATGGATTGTTTCTTTAGAAGGACAGGCTCAACATGATTGCTGGTGGAGTGCCATCCATTTTGCCTACTGTACTAATAATGGCCAGTCTTCGCGAGCGAAGATCCAGGGAAGGTCTTTCCACCTTCCAGCCTGCGCATTGGATTTTTTAGGTGAGACACAGTGTGCGCGGAACTGAGCCCACCCTTTAATCCTAAGGTTCATCTGCCAGGGCCAAGCGAGCTTGGACGGTGGCAGCGAGGTCCTTAGGACGTAGGTGGGTTGCCTTTAAGGGCTAACGAGCCCCACCTGCCCGGGAGTGGCCCTGACCGGGAATCGAACCCAGGTCTTGGCGGTGATAGCGCCGCGCCTTTACCACTAGACCACCAGGGCACTGTACTAGGGGCTCTTTAGAAAGCATACAATTCTGAGAAGCTTGTTCTTCCCACAGAACAAAATTAATTATCAAATCATGACATCAAAAGAAAGTTCTGTTTCCCAAATATTTCAGTACCCTGCAGTCTTCTCCACACAATCTCTGTATTGAGACTCTCAAGTCCCTGCAAAATTAGTAGTGCCTTGCAGCTTGCTGTAAATGTTAATGTAATGCAAAATAAATAGCACTTAAAAACTAAAATGGTTGCGGTTGATTTCTCTGATGACTACAGCAGTGGTAGAATCTTGCAAAAGCAGTTTCGTGGTCAGTTTTGGATCAAAATTGAGACCAATTTCAATTCTTTATTCCTAATCTTGTGAGTTTCCCTCTTGATTCTACCTTTTCTATGCAACTCTATGCAACAAAAAATTCCAAGTGTCAATATATGCAGTCTACAGATGAGACTCTGGAAAGAACTGGAGTTCTGGAACTGCATTCTGTCCAGTAAGGCACATACTCTCTTTCTTAATATTAGACATGTGAATAACTCCACTGAAAGAACAGAATTATGTAGTCAACTGGTTCCTGGCCAAAGTACCGAGCCTGTAAAGTATTGAATTCTCTGGGAAAATAAGCTGTCTTGGTTTTAGTGAGAGAAACTTCTGGAAATAGAAGAGTACTATATATCATGCAGGTCTGTTATTCCATTATTTAGTTATGCCAATTATTGTATGAATGTTCCATCAATTTTAATTTTTTTTTTTTTTTTACTTTACACAAAGTTCATGCATTTAGGAAAGTGTTCAACCTGTCAAACAGTATAATTCCAGATAATTATATTCTATTTTAAAGGACATACACACTTGCAATATACCAACATTCAAACATCTGACCATCTAGATTTTTGGGATTTCCTTGACAATTTACACTCCAAGTATCCTGCTCAACTCAGTGGAAGCATCTGTACTGATGTTACCACACAGATGTTACCTAACACATTCTCAGATCTTACTGCACAAACATTGTTACCTAATACATTGTCAGAAATTAATATACAGTTACTACTTTTCCAGTTCTAATATGGATGCAGCACCTACTCTAACCTTTATTAAATATAAGATACTGTCTTGTAAAAAAATTCTGTATGAAACTGTGACATGCTTCTATTTCAAACATTTGTTACTAGACTCACAGAATTCTAAACATTTGGTTTCCAGGACAAAGAAGAAAAACTTTTAACTTTCTGTTTCTTAAACTCAGAGTTCATATTTTCACTGACATATGTATCTCTATAGACCATACATGTAGACACTAGGAACACATTATTGCTTATAGTTTATCAGCACTTGTTTGGAGTGGCTTGCTTTTGGCTATTCTGTACTGAAAGTCGAGGAAACTCAGGTATATATACCCTGCAAATGCCATCTTCTCACAGTAAAACATTTTTTTCTATAAATATGGAATATCATCCTTTAATGGGTAGGATAAAACAATACTCTGCCACAATCTATGTTAAATTTCTGGTGTCCATTTTAGCCTATCAGGTAATGTAGACTTTTATTCTACAGGTGAGCTGAGAATCTCTAAGGCATTTGTTATACGTAGTCACAGAGAAGTATACCCTAGAACTGCAACTGGACTGCTGTGTATTGAACTGCTGTATGGAAAAGCTATTGTTGGTTAATATTAAGAGTGTTCTACTATGTTAATATGTGGGTTTTTTCCTTCCATCAGTTATGTAAAGTAGTTAAGTAGTTAGATCTCTAGCACTAAGGGAGTCAGACTTCAAAAACACAAGAAAAAGTGCGTGAAAAATGTTGTCATTAAATCCCGAGTAGTCTCATAATTGGGACAAATGACACAATTTTCTGCATTTTGCTTGATATGCCCTTCTCAGCATCCGTGACCACAGATATAGTCCCTTTTCTCTTCCGTTCCCTGCTCCTTTTTCCCTCTCCCTCAATATCTTCTGTCCCTTACATGTGTGTGGTTGGCCCTGACAATTAAATGGACAAGGAAGTATGTATGCTCTGATTCTGTGCTATATGTATGTTTACTGCCTGACCAGCCTGAGAATACTCTAAGGGGTGGTGACAGACCTTTCTCTATTTTAGGAAGAGGACTGCTGAGATCCCAGTGCAGCTTTTCTGCCAGTGGAGGCATCTTAATGTTTTCCTCTTAAGTTCAGATAGCATTTTAATTTTTTTTTTTCTTCTGAGGAATATGGGTGATTCTGCTGCTTATATTTGATGAGAAGAAGTATAGAGACAGACAGGCTTCATGAATTGCTAGCATTTCTCTCCCTCTTGCTAGGTTTTGCACATTGACTGGTCAGGCAAAGACTAAACTTTGAAAGGTACTCTCAGGTAAGCACTGAAGGTGCTGAAGGTGCTACTGGATTTCATAGTTCCCTGGATTTAGTCTGAAGGTATGGTCCTGACTCATTTCAGAGAATTCATATTTGCTACTGCAGCTTTTTAGAAATCAGTCTGGGCTCCCAGGTGATCCATACTATGAAACACTAGAGAAAAGTCTGACAGAGCTCGTATTAAAGGTTAAGTTTCTTTGCCACAACATAGGAATATCAAGTGTTCATTATGCAGATATATCTCTTAGATATATGTAAGATGTAAATTTGTCCTACCCTAACACACAGTTAATAGAACATGATAACTAGAAAATTGTGATAGAGATTGATTTTGGATAAACAGCTTACAAAGAAAAGCTGACTAGTAGGTGACGTTTTTCTTCATCAAAGTTCTTGCACGGAAGAAACTACATTTGTTTTTCCTCACTGGCCAAGTGAATTGCTCAGGATCTTCTGGAAATAGCCCATATGCTTACAGAGGGAATTCATTCCATGCAGATCCTGGTCACGATGATTTTTTGCGAAAGCTTTTCTGTGAAAGATTTCTTCAAAGCCAGCCCTGGAACTAGTCCAGGAGGGTAGTCTGTTCAGGAAAGCAAACCTAAAGAAGAGAGAATTAAGAAGCATATAACTGGTGCACCATCTTTTGCCATTTCTGCTCATCCATTTGAGTCAATACTGAATCAAAGAAAAAAAATCACAAGGACAGTAAATAAATGCTTTTGCTTTGTGAAGTTCTAGAGATTTTAGTGCCATTTGCTGTTGAAAGCAGAGGATGGAATGATGCTTTAAGGACAGACCAAAAAGTTTGGTCTAATAAATGTGAATGAATATACAGGGCTTGATTGTTCTTTCACACCAGTGAAACTCCATGGACTGAAATTAGGCACACTAATTACACAATATACTTCTGTAAATGCTTCTAACTATGGAGTGAATGAACTGTGATATAACCTAAAGCACAAAGTGAATGTGCAGCCCTGGTCCCTCAGGCATGTTTAAATAGTAACACAGATTGTCATCACGTGTTTTTAAATTTTTAAATCTAAATAAAATATAACACTGCATGTAATACGTGGTTTAAATGGCAGATGTGTAATAAATATCTACATTTATGACAGACTTAGGCAGAAAAACACGATGAGGTGTGGTTATGGAACAAATTTTGCTTCAGGTTCACTTTGTACTTTTAACCACCTCTGTTAATTACACAGCTAAGATCATGCCCTGGAGAGTTTTAATTTTCTTGTGATTATATAATGGACTCTTACTAATATCATTATTCAAAAAAAAAAAAAAAAGCTAGGAACGTTTTCAGACAGAACTTTTCAGTATGAAGATTTGTTAAACCTCTTTTTACCAATTCTGAGCCACAACTAAAAACATCTAGAAATGTTTCTTGGCCATGCAACTTTTCTTCAGTGCTTGCACCACTCTCTCATATATATGATTTTTGAATGTCTGCCATCACCCTAGTTTGTTTTGGTTTTGTTTTTGTTTTTGTTTCTTTTAGACCAAAAATGTCTTCATAATGGCCCTGGAAGATAGGGAATACTCACATCTGCGTTTTCCTGGTAGGGCACAAACTTGTTCACCTCGGTGTGAGGTAGACATCCAGACACCTCCAATGGAGCTGTGTGTATGCGGTTTGCCCAAGGTCAGTCAGGAATGAACAGGAGTTGTCTCTGTTTCCTGAACCCCCTGAGGCTATAAGACCTGGACCCTCCTTTACACTCCTATATGCACATAGGGAAAATGATCAAAAAACAACCTAAGTATCAAAGAAACGCAACAGTTTAAGACACGATGATTGTACACTGTAGAAAACACATGCTTATCCTATGGAATGCCAGCTTTCATGGCAGGTGGGACAATTTATCAGGCTCACAGCCTGTTCCCATAGCCTTCTTCCCTGGGTACAGCGCTGGAGTATTTAAGGAGCAGGCTGTGTGTCAGATGAATTGCTCTGGCATCAGCCACAGCTCCCACCCGGCCCCAGCCTTTCCTGGTGGCTGCTTGGCTGCTCTCCCATCATACAGCGGCTGAATGTTTGGGATGTGACAGGCAAATGACCCCTGGGCAAAATGGTGGCAGGGAGCAGCTGCCATTGCTGGGAACGCTCGTCCAGCGTGCAGCCAGCTCTCCTGGTTTCCAAGACGTCCAGGGAAAGCGAGGCAGTGAGGAGCAGGCTGAAGGGCTCTGCAGCTGTGGCCACAGCTTGCTCCCAGCAGCCCTGCTTGCTGAGGCAGCTCAACCTGCTTGAATTGTGCAGGGGTGCGGAGAAGCCAGCGCAGCTGGGGAGCCTGGGCATGGAGTTCCTGCACTGTTCTGCTCCCGCTGCCACTGCACTCAGTGATGCACCATGCCTGGTTGGAAAACATAAGACACCTCTGGATCTGTGCGAAGTTTTGATAGAAAGACTACGCATAGCGACTAACATACACTGTGCCTCTAGAAGGGAATGGGTGTCAAAACAGACAGCAGACCCAAATCTTCAGCTGCTTAAACTGTCATCACTCTGTTGGCCAGTCTATGTCTTTCTGCTCCATACTAGTTTCTTTTCCTTCCTTCCAAGTTCATTTTTTTCAACAAATTTGTTTTGTTCTAGCCATATTATAGTGGTTTTAAGGCTTCAGCAGGCAACACAAGATGTTAAGGGTCTTAGCTTTAATGCACATTCACAAAATATCCATTAATTTGAGAAGAATGCAAATTTTACCACCTTTTGGAATATGTACTAAGAATTTACTGTAAGGTAAATAATTTACTCCATACTTTGTAAAGTAAGTATAGTGGAAAATTATATTTAGCCACTAACTTCTAAACTGAAACAGCAATATACTTCTCTGGTGTAATATATTTTCCAGTCATGTGATGAAGAGAAGCATTTTTTTCAGCTGAGCTCACTTAAAGTTCAAAAGATAAATATATCACAATGACAAATTGCAAAATGCTGTTCATACATTTAGGTAAAAATCGTTCCCTCATTTGTTTGTATTTCACATAAACTGTATTACTGTTATTTCCAAAGAAAATACAGTACAAAATAATTCTGATTAAAAATACAAGTATTGTTAATGGACCAAAGCAGAAATTTATCTTAGCTTGTGGGGCAAAAAAATGCAGAAACTAAGTGTACTCTTTTTGGGTGAAATTCATTCCACAAAATGATATCCACTCAGCCCTCTAACTGCCTAATCTCCAACTCAGGGCCCTACAGAGTGGGGCACGAGTGGAGTAGCTAGTGCAGGGGGTTTTGCATCTGTTCTGTTCTGGGTGGTTGAGAACTTCTCCACATGGGAAGGAGGTCTGAATTTACAGCACTGTCAGACTTGTCTTAGCACTTGTCCACAACAAGAAATTGAAAGAAATTTGGGAGCAACTTTGCCATGCTCTTGTGACTCCATACATGCAACTATGAGGATGCCCAACCTGCTGTGAGTGTGAACTGGTTTATCTGGTAGGCTAAGGCACACTTGCTGGGCACAAAATCAGTCCATGTAGGAAATGAACATGCAGTGGATTGACGCTGTCTGTTTGCCACTTAAATGCAGCCTCTACGTATGGAGTCACAGGCAAGAGTCAAAGGTGCCCACAGCAACAGAGCTGCTAATTTAATTTTGTCCTGGGAGTAGAGAGGCACTTCTAAGTTACATCTTTATGAGCTCTGTCCATACATCATGACACTGTGAGTTGAGTTTTTTTTTTTGTCTTGGTTAAAGCTTATGATTTGTCAAATGAAGCATCAAATCCTGCTTTCCCCCTGTATCACTAATTAGCCCTACATGTGTATGTTCTCTGTATGGTCTTCAACAGACAATGAGCTTTTGGCATAATGAGTAAGAACTTTCCACTGCTCCCTTAGTTTCGTCTTCATGTAGCTTACCATTGACTAACATGTACAACTCAGGTCAAAGGATTTACATTTAGAATACAAGTAAAAATTAGGACATATGGCAACAATAAATCGGTTCTTTAAAATTATATAGCAACAAAAGGTGAATGAGTAATTTTATTGTTAGTATATAGTAGAGTAACATGTTGGGATCAGAAGTATTATTTACCACACATACAAGGCAATGAACTGGAGGTTTATAATTTCAGTGCTCACTACTTTTATCACTTTCGTGTTATCAGTTCAGAAATCCCTTATGGAATTGATATACCCTGATTTCTCTCTCCAAACAATTATATGCACTCTGCCTTGCTTCCAACACATATGCATGTTCTCTCGTTCTCACACACACACAAAGGATTCTATAACAACAGGACTATTATAGAGAATGATCTAAAACATGTGGACTGCAGCCAATACTTAGATATGGTATAGTAAATTCTGGAAGGTATAAAAAGGAAATAAATGAACTCATTGCAGAGAAAAATGAGCCAGTCTTAAGTACTTTTAATCACTGAATTTCATATAAAACCATATGGAAGATACTGAGCCCAATATTGAAGGGAAAAGGAAAGGAGCTAAGGGAGAGGAGAAATCTAGTTCCGCTGGGATTTTGGATGGGAGTTGCTTAGCGTTTTTACAAGAACCTTTCAGGAATTAATGAAAACCATTTAAGCAAACATATAAATATGTTTACCAAGTTGTATGACAACTGTGACCTGTGAATCTTATCATGCATTCCCCCAGCTCAATATGGGGTAAAGGGGTAGTCAGTATGCTGCTGCTCTTTCCTTCCACAGACAGCTGTCACACCTGCTTTGCAGGCTACTCAGTTACTGTGCCCACTCTCTTGGCCCAAAGGGATCTCTGGGAGGGAAAAGCAAGTCCCCACAGCAGTACCAGGGATAAAGGAAGAGTGAGCCACTTTCATTCCCCTTTCTCAAAATATCCAGCTGTATCCAAGTTTTTGCCAAATCAGTTTTTGCTCAACATCCCAATGCCCTGAGTGGAGCACTATTGCTCACTTTCACAGCTGGGAGGCTGTGGATTGCATCTCCTCTGTGTCTGCCCCTTTGCTATTTCCCTGGGTGGGTATGTTGAGCCTCTGTAGATACTTACAGGCATAGGCAGTTGCCCAGGATTCTGCAAATAGCTGTGTTCTAAATTTGTATAAAATGCTGTGCATGAACTGAAACCTGCTTGTCATTAATCAAGGGGTTTAGTGAGCTAGAGTTTTTCACTGAGATTTTTGCTGAGCCTGGACTTCAACATTTTCACACTTGCAGATTGCACTTAAAAAAACCTGACTGAAGGCATCTGTCTGATAAATAGTTGTTCAAAAGTGTAACAAATGCCAAACAACACTTTCTTGTTTTAGTTAGTGTTGGACATGGATGTGAGAGAAGGATAGACAGGGATTTTTAGAAGTATTAGTCTAACTCAGCAGAGGGTGAAATACCCACTTCAGCAGCCTGTTTCATAACTGCTTCCTAAAGCACATGGAAACACTTGGGACTGATTCTGCCAACTCTGATCATTCAAAATAGAACTTTATCAAAAATCAGCTCGAGTCTTCATGGTGCTACGCTGCATAAATCAGGTTTTACTTGTTAAAAATAAAAAAAGCAAAATTACTAGTGAACAAGAAACTACATCCATAAATTAAAGAACCAAATCCGCAAAAGAAATTAAAACCGAAAACAAATTCAAAGATTCCATGAGTGAAAGGGCAAATTTGTTCTGAATTAGTGAATGTAGGAATCAATGAAAAGACACTACCAGAAAATTTGCTCTTCCAACACATATCTTCAAGGCCAGAGCTAGTGAGAACTAGTGAGCAGAGGCAGTTCTATCGAGGGGGACACCAGGAACACCAGTTTGCTGAGATGACATACTGAGTATTTCATATAGAAATGCAAAAAGTAACTTCTGGGCTGAAAGAAATCCCATTATGGATGGTGACTGCCTAGATGTATAGCCATTGAGGTGCAGTGGAAGCACGTTTTGGTCCATAAGGTGGCTGTGTTGCATTTTGAAGTAGCTTGTAGGTTGGAGAACTGTTACCAAATAATCCCGTGTGGGCCGCTTCCACTGCAGCTGCACCAGAGTTAGCAACAATGGGAACCTTAGTACAGACAGCTTTCAGCTCCAGCAGCCATTTTCAGCACTGTATCAGTTAACCCTGTTCTGAGGAGGGTTAATTGACACAGTGCTGCAAATGTCTGACTAGATGAAAACTCATATATTATGCCTCCCAACATCTCTAACAATTGTGCAGCTGCATTCATATTGGTAATGGTGGGAATTTGGAGGAGGGAAGAAATTCCCCAGTGCAAGCAAGGCCTGAGAGTGAGCCTTAATGTTCTTCTCTGGGTCTTGTTTGTCAGTCGCAGTCACGCTTCCCTAAAGCATTCCCCCAGCCATCTCCAGGTTGCTGATTATGAAGCAGCAGCCGCTGTTGGTCCCACCAGCTGGATAAAAAAAGTGGAAAAGTGGTGATTCACTTTGGCCCATCTTATAGGTGCACTCAAGTTTCCTCTCTCTTCTGTCTTGTATCCCCAGAGACCACAGGGAGCCAATTCAAAAAGAACAAGGGAAAACAAAAGTTAACTTTTGCCACAAATACAGACAATATTTGAAAAATGTACTTCTCCTGCAAGGACTGGTTCTCTAGGAGCAGAGTATTAGGATTTCCAGATCCTTGAGTACCCACTGTAGCCTTTGACGACACAAATATCTTTGGCTGCTCTGGTTGACCACAAAAGTGAAATACCCAACCAATATACAACTCCTCTAACCATGGTAGCCTCTAGCATTGGTAGACCAAGGCTGTTCCTCTAAGGAGCTTTCTGAGGCAGTGAAAAGCTGTAAGGTCCTTGAAGAACTAAGGAAACGGGCAGAAAAATCCTTCTAAATTTTACCATCTGCGTTTCCACCCCGGCCAGAGACCTTTCAAAGTTCAAATATTGCTGCTCTCCCTGAGCTAAGGCCTTAAACTTACTACCACTTTTGAGTTGCTTGCACTCCATGAGAACTAGAGTGGAGAAAACATGACCTCCTTGAGCAGAACAGAGAGGTGCCGTGACTCTTTGCACTCTTACACACATGGTGAGCAAGCACTGTAAATCTGTTGACAAACTTTCTATCACGCAGTCTGCATCACAGACCTTCAGGGAAATGTTATAACTTGGGAAAAAAATGTTCTCTCTGTAAAGAACTGCCACTTGAGACCATCCGAGCCCACAGAATTCCACTGGTGGAAGTTAGTTATACTTACGTATGGGTGTTGTTAGGTTGCTATCTATAGGTGACATCTTCCTATGACCATGCACAGCATGAGCCTGTTGATTTACAGGCTGTGCTGCTTCTACATCCATGGACTTCTGAGAAAGGAGGCAGATGAAGAAGTGAGCAAGGAAATTTGGTGCTATCTATAAGCTCCAAGGCCTTTTTAAGCTGTAATTTTCTGTCTTCCTAAAAGATACTTTCCTGCAACGTTGGGTTCTTTGTTCTGATGTAAAATATTATTGCTGCTGTTAGAATGCACAATTGAAAAAATCATCTCAGAATACTGAGGCCAATTAACCCTCTACAAGCTACCACACTGACTACAGAATAACAAATGGCCTCGAAGTGTTCTAGGCTAGACAGCACAATCCGCACCTTATTTTTCATTGTCTTCTTCTTAATCTTCTAAAGTTCCTCTAATTTCTTTGGAAATTTTCTGAGTTTTTAAACTCACGGAGCGTGAAACTAGGCCTTATTTTATGTCTATAAATTTCCTACCCTATTATGAATGCTTTCAAGGTGGGGGGGAAAAAAATAAAAGCACTGACAGTTAATACTTTTGTTGATAGACCAAAGCTTAAATCTCAGACCAAAGCTGGTGGAAAGTAGGTCATCTCTACTCCAGTGACTTTGCAGTTTTCCCTCAAATTAATTATACAGTTGTATTCACTGGTGTTTGCACTGAATATAGTGCAATTATAGTTATACTGGCAGAGAATAGATTGGAACAGTGGAAGGAACAGCCACCACATCTCTTTTGGAAAGGAACCTGGGACAAAACCAAGAGCTGTTTCTGGCTCCTCAGCTTCTACCAGCCACTTGAGGAAATCAGGCTTTCTGGGTTCTGGATATTGTATCAAATCACTACGCTATGTTAAGATACTCCTCATCTCATACAGCAGCTTATCATTTGATATCCAGAATAGATGTAGGGCTCTGTGGATTGCTTCATGGTGTGATGGTAACTGAGTATTGTACGAAGTGTAGTTGGGACTACAAGACTTTTCTTATAGCTATTAGATTTAACAGGTGGACTGTGTCTATCTTCCATAGCTAGTTGCTTTTTGGGATGGGAGGGAAGCAGGCTTTGGGAACCTTGTGATTGGATTAAGAACACTTTGGGAATATTTTCAGCCTTAAGAAGTATTCTAAGATTACTCTTTCTTTAGCCCATCTGTCTACAGTGTACTTTTTCTATTCCTCAGAAAATAACTAAGCTGTCTCCTCAGCCCAGTCCTTGCTGGTCAATGACTGTGTATACTTTGTTGTAGTAACTTTTTGCCTAAGTATAGGCATTTATTTATTATTATTTATCTATAGACTTAATTTATAAGTTATCAAGACAACTGGCTGTATTTTGATAGCCAGTACAAGGAGAGCTGCAGCAGTATCTCTGCCCTCTTCAGTATTATATACGATAATGCAACCTTTTATTTCCTTCTGAGGGCTCTCCTGTGCTTGTCCACCTCTGAGTAGGGGAGGAAGGATGCGATCTGAACTTGAGGGAGGTGTGGGACTGGAGAAAATGCCCAAGTCGCACACGAAGCCCAAGTGCGACCGTTTTCTTTGGGGGACACACAGCGTGATCCTCCCTGGCCTTTGTGGCCGTCTCCTTATGCCACAGAGAAGGGGCGCCAACCCATGGCTTGCACGGGAGAGGACCGAACACCGGCGAACAGAGAGGGCTCCTGGACACCCTGCTTACCGAGTATGGGAAGAGGTATCGCCTGCAGCCCCGCCGCGCTTATGGGAAGAACAATGTCGGGGCAGGGCTCTCCGCAAGAGGTCATTCCCCGTGCCGTCACCCTCCCGACAGGACCGCTCCGACCCGCTGTCGGGTTACACCGCCCACATCTTACTCCGGCGCGGCCGTCTCGGGAGTCGCCGACCCCGCGCCGCAATGGCAGCGCCTTCCCGGCAGCCGTACTGGCGGGCGGGGGCCCCGGTGCCCGGGGCTGAGCCCGGCGGGCCCGTCCCAGGGCCGGCCCCAGCGCGGCCGCCTTTGTTCCGCGGGGCCCCACGTGCGGCGGTGGCCGCGGTGTGTGCGCCGTGTGCGGGGCTGCAGAGCCCCCCCCGCGCCGGCACCGCGGGCTGGCCCTTTAAACCTGCCGTGGCGGCGCGGCCGGGCCGGTGCGGGACACGTGAGGCGGCGGCGCGTTCTGCCGCCGCTGCCCCGGCTGCCGTGCTGCTCGTGTTTTATCTGGCCGGCCGCCAGGCCCCCATCGCCGGCTTTTCGCTCTGCCTCCTTTTTTTTCTTTTTTTTTTTTTTTTTTTCCCCGCACAGCCCCCTCCTGGTTTTTCCACCCACGGGTAAAGGTGACTTTTCTTTTCCTCCTTTTTTTTTTTTTTTTTTTTTTTCTTAACTCTCATCCTAGTTTAGTCCGTGGGCAGGACTCGCATAATAATATTTCCAGTCTCAGCAACTCGCATCACAGACACGAACTCAGGACCGCCCCCCCCCTTTTTTTTTTCCTCCCAATCTCCCAAATCGTTTTATTATTATTTTTTAAGTGATCGCTCCTTTTGCGCGCTGCTCCTGCTGCTGCCGAAATCCCCATCTTCCCAGGGTGCATGCTTTTGGCAAGATTGTGCAGTGTTCTCAGTCCATTTTCAGTGTGTCTTATCTTAATTTGTCCTGATCCGATCTAAGCGCGATAGCCACCACTTGCTTTCAATTTGTAGGATTTTTCCCCCCTTCTTGGTTTGCTCCCGACTACCCTCGGAGTATTTCTCTCTCTCTTCGCATTTCCAGGGTTACAATTTACTCTGCCTTTTTTTTTTTTTTGCCTCCCCTCTTTTGAATTGCTTCATGTTACTAATCATTCCTAAATTGTAAGACAGATTAATTCCCCCTCCTCTTCCACCACTACCAGCACCACTACCACCATCACCTCCTCCTCCTCCTCCTTCTCCCCTTCTCTTCTCCTTTTTGGCAGCACCAGGACGTCCGGTGTGGTGGTGGCAGCGAGCAGCAAAAGCAGCAAGAGCTCGTTTTGATTCCTCCCCTTCCAAGGTGCTTTGGAGAGACTGGTTTCAGGCTGAGCAGCAGAAGTCACGATGAGTGCACAAGGTGAGGGACCCGGTCAGCCTTCCACTGCTGCCCAGGAGCAACCTGCAACCGCAGAGCTTCAGAAGAGAGGACGAGGCAGACCCAGGAAACAAACAGAAGTCAGTATCGTATAAATACGTAGAGACGTAGATCTGTAGTGTTGTAGGCATTTACATGTACGTATTGTGCTGCAAATGAAGCAGTCCTGGCGACGGGGCGGGGGGCTTTGTTGTGTGCTGCTTCTCGGCGAGGTGGTGCAGAGGCGTAGCGAGGGGCTCCGCCGGGCGCCCCGGCGGGGAGACTCCGGGGCCCGAAGCGGCGAGGCGCTGCCTGCTCGTGGCTGAGCCGCGGAGCCTCCTCGGGACTTTCACTATTGTGCAGGGAGCGAGCTGGGGCTTTTCAATGTAAATGGGGAACATGGAGCAGCGTGGCTCCGACCAACCAGCGCTCGCTGGGTCATTTCGAGCTGATTTTAAAATTGCGAAAGAGAGGAGCAAGGAACTGGGCTCTCCTGTCCCTTCTCTCTCAGTCCTCGCAACAGCTCACTCTGTGCGTGTGTGTGTGTGCGTGTATGTGCGTGTATCGGGTCCCACCGGGCGCTGCTGCCGCCTCCGATCTTGACCAGCCCAGCCCCTGACTGCCCCTAGATCCTGGGGCTGGGGGGAGAGGAGGGTGTCTAGAAAGTCGCATAGTTTTTTTTTCGCTCCCCCCCCCTCCGCCCCCCGGCTTTCCCCCCTTCCTCACCTCCCTCCCTCGCCCCCGTCATCGTATGCAGAGAGGTGCCCCCGTTGCCGGTGGAGGTGGGGGAGGTAGCCGGAGGGGGCTTGCCCTGTATTTGCAACACCTTTTGCCTTTGCTTCGGCGCTTTTGCAGGCAGGTCGAGGTGACGGGAATGATGGGTGTCTGGGTGCGGGGAGCTCCTTCCCACCCGCACCCACAGGTCCCGGGTCCCGAAAGGTCCCGCTGGGCTCCTGTTTTTGACTTGCAAGACCTGAATCCGCGCTAAGGTTGCTAGATCCATTCATTATTCCCACATCCCTCTCCCTACCACCACCTTCCCTTCCTTTCCCGACGTGCCATTGTCGCATTGCTTGGAGCTGCCGGGCCGCGCTCAACCCCCACCGCCGGGTGAGGGGCCCGGCAGGAGCCCCCGCGCTCTGCAGCCCCTCAGGCGGCGCCGCCGAAGGGGGATTTTGCCTGCGGATGCAACCAATTAATTCCCGCAGCTCGGCGGGAGCTGCGCGAAGCCGCCCGCAGGCTTTTCCATGCCTCTCTCGGAAGTCCCGACTGAGGAGTAGGGCTGTCCATGGAGTTCATTTTAAAGCGAGCTTCCGCGGGCTTTAAACATGTTTACTCCCATGCATTTGGCATCAGCCCCGCTGCCACGAGAACCTTCGAGGAGCTCGAAGCGCGGAGGAGCTGAGCGGCAGAGCCCGTAGCCGGGGGAAACCCGTCTGCTTTACTTCCCCCCTCATCCCCCATCCCCCGCTCCGGTATGGTCCTGTAAATTGCACAGAAAATACTATTTGGAAAGCCATAAAAGCGGAGACCCCGGTGTTCTTGCTCTGCCCTCGGTGACACTCCACCGGACCAGCTGTGGGCTCTGACCCCCTTCCCGCTTCACCCTCTGGCTGCCCTCGCTCAGCCCCGGCAGCCGGCACCTCCGGCCCTGCGGACTTGCGCCAGGACTCCCATTTTCTTTTTCTTTTTCTTTTTTTTTTTTAAATTTTGTGTCCCTTTTGTTTTCTTTCATATTTTTTTTCCTCCTATAGTATTTGAATGTATGGAAGTGAAAGAAAAGCGCGTCTCCTTCAGTGTGCTCAGCCCAGATGTGCAGTGCCTGCGAGGCTCACCACTGAGCTGGAGCACTTGGGGAGTCCTCTCGCCAGCGTCCCCTTAACCTACCCGGGAATTATAAAAGCTGAAGGGGTTTAAACTGGTTTAAGTTAGCAAACAGCATTTAATTAGTTTTACCATATCCTGTAACCTGAATGAAATGTATAATATT